AGCACGGCCGCGCCAGATGTGGACAAGCTCGGGGTTGGCGTCGAAAAGGCTCAGGAAAGTGCTCCGCGCCAAGATCCCGACCCCCGCATGACCTGTGGTGGGGCCCTGGGACCAAAATGCCACGGTGCCTGGAGGAGTACGCCACGTGCTGTTGCCCTCCTCGGTGCCGTGGGTCTCCGTGAAGAGGCCGATGTCCGCCTTGCCCATGAGCTTGGACACGCAGGAGCCCTTGGCTGCATGTCTGAACGGGTCCGTTGCGAAGAGGGCCTGCGTGTTCCACAACACCGCCGAGAAATCACCGCAGAACTGCCCGCCCCGGCGAGATGTCGCGGCTGGCGGAGGCGCCTGAGTGGACCGAGGAGGGGGGTAGATGCGGGCGGCAGCAGCGGCGCCAACGGCACGAAGCAGACGCCGGCGTCGATAGATGTGGACGGGGACGTCATGCAAGCAGTCGTTTGTCATGCACTCGGGGAGGAGTTCCGTGTCCCCGAAAATCAAAGGGGGTAGACGAGGGAGAAGTCGATCGGCTGGATCATCAGCAACGCGTGGAGCACAAGGGGGACGAGGAGGATCAGGGAGATGACCTGTACCGTGGCGGTCAGCACGACTATGCTCGGGGGACCCCGAACGGAGCCGAAAAACGACGAGGACGTAGAAGCTCTCGTGGCCCAAATAATCAATGCAACGAATTCCAAAATCACAGCCCGTCTGTGAACGATGCCCCGGAAGACGCAGGGGGCGGAGGGCATCTACTGCCGACCCCTCGAGCCGTTTCCCTGGCCAGCACTGAGAGTGAGAAGATCGCTGCAGACCTCGATCCCGACCATGTCATGGCCGACCTGCGCCGCCTGGCCGTGGAGCGCCGCGTAGATCTTCCTGATGTCGTCCGTGCTGTTGGCCAGAACCTTGAGGACCCCAGAGGGCGCGTGCGCGTCGCGGGAAGCCAACTGGAAGAACTCCCCAGGCTTGGGGTGGTCCATGTCCACGGCCTTGGATAACGAGAGGCCCGTGACCCCGCACACGTGGTTCATCAGGCGGTCGAGCACGAGTGCATCTTCCCGGCCGAGGTCGCCCTTGACGATGATATCCGCGATACAGTCGGAGATCGAGGCAGCCTTGGCGCCCCGCCGTTTCTGGGCAGCCAACTGGACCGAGGTGGCAACAGGAGTGGCGAAGACCCGGCCCCCATTGCGCGAGGGCTTCCACTTCAGTCGGGTGGCTGCGTTGTCCTTGTCGGCCTGGTAAATAATATCCAAAACACGTGCCCACGTCTCAGCCGAGGATTCGGAGAAGACCAAGAACCTGGAGGCCCCTAGGGGCAGCATCTGTGAGCACAGCGGCCAATAGTGCTGGAACACGTTGTGCCCGCTGCACTCCAAGATCATCGCGTCCGCGGAACCCGTCATGGACTTGAAACCGAAGAAAGTGGAAGCTGGAAGATGCTGCGCACGTAAGAACTTTAAGACGAGCATCTGCTCCAATTCCGTTGTTCTGGGATGGAAGATGACATCAATCGCAATGCGAGGGATATCCTTGCTGGAGAGAGGGCTGCGCCGGTGTGATCTAAACGACGCCCCCTCGAGACACTGCAGCTGGCCTAACGCCAAAAAAGAGGTGAGGCTGTCCGCGCACATGTCGAAAATGGCGGCGGCGAAGTCCTCAACCTGCAAGATGGAGCTCGTGTGGATCATGCGTGGGACGCCACGTGGGCCCGAGGGCCGCAGGGAGAACATGGCGAGGCCGTACTTGTCGTGCTTCGGCGAGCCGTAACGGCCAGGCAGAACCATCTCGAAAGGGAACGACACGAACGCGATGTCCCGAACGATCGCCATCCATCTCTCGGACAACATGGGAGAAGACCATATGTCGGTGATGTTGCGGACCGAGTTCATACCTGCGGTGCACGGGATAGTGGACAAGAAGATGAAGATGAGTGTGGCGGGCCTAGACTCCTCAGCAGTGCGGCGGAGAAATGATGCGAGGCACCGGGAAAGTGCACTAAGGTCGGACGGAGCCCACATAGCCACGTGCCTCCCGGCCACGCTGTCCCAGACTCTATCGTCCCCTTTCTCCGCCATGGTGACCAAAGCCCGGGAATCAACGACTGATGCCGAGGGTGGGGATGCGCAGCGAAGCATGTCGGACCACTGCGTGTAGAGCTGGAGGTTCGGGACCTGCGCGGTGGAGATGACCAGCTTGATCGCGTCCTGGCCTAGCTCCTTGTGCAGCGGGAGATTGGCAGGCTTGATCCGCCGCCGGGCCTGCAGCACTGCTGGCAAGCCCTCCTCGCACCTCTCCACTGCCTGCGAAAATCTGTCTGCGAGCGACTGGGCAGCGAGGCGCTCCGATGCCTCCCACTCACCATGGAGAGCCAGCGTGAGGAGGGAGCGAGCCGCACGCCCCCGTGAGGACAGCACTTGTTCTGAAGGGTCGGGGCCGTCCACTTTCGCGAATCCTAGCATCTCCCATGGGTCCGCGGCATCAGGGCGGTAGCCCAACTTCGAGAGGATGGGCATTAAGGAGTCGAGATTGTCCGGGTACTCGATCGGGAAAGCGGCCATGGCAGGGTCAGTGACGCCAGCGGCCTGCGCGAGTGTGAAATGCTGGAAGATGCCCTCCTCCACCCAGTCGCTGAGAAGCTTCGAGTAGAAGGCTGGCGTGGCCCCCCTACCCTCATCAACCTCAATGCTGTCCTGGTTCTCGCTGGCGATGTGCAGGTCCCCGACGACCTGGGAGAGGCCACTGGGCAGATCCTGTTGGACAGCATGTCCAGGAAGTCCCTGCCCGCAGCCTCGGCATCTGCCCTGCTCGTCGGCCGTCGCGGGCAGTGCGCCGAAAAGCCGGCAGGCCACATGCGTGCAAGCCATGAAGCAGAAGCTGCCCTGAGAGGCAGCAGGTCTGCTCACCTGCAGGCGAATGCAGGCCGCAGGCAGCGACCTGGGCCGCGCGGTGGCTTGAGCCAAATCTTGCCTCCCTGCCTCAGCCTCGGCCTGCCTCCCTGCGTCAGCCTCCGCCTGGCTTGCCTGCCTCAGCCTCAGCCTGCATAAGCCTCAGCCTCAGCCTGCCTCAGCATCAGCCTGCCTCTGCTTCAGCCTCAGCCTCAGCCTGCCTCAGCCGCAGCCTCAGCCTGCTTCAGCCTGAGCCTCAGTCTGCCTTCAGCCTCGGCCTCAGCCTCAGCCTGCCTCAGCCTCAGCCTCAGCCTCAGCCTGCCTCAGCATCAGCCTGCCTCAGCCTCAGCCTCAGCCTGCCTCAGCCTGCCTCAGCCTCAGCCTCAGCCTGCCTCAGCCTCAGCCTCAGCCTGCTTCAGCCTCAGCCTCAGTCTGCCTTCAGCCTCGGCCTCAGCCTCAGCCTGCCTCAGCCTCAGCCTGCATCAGCCTCAGCCTCAGCCTCAGCCTGCCTCAGCATCAGCCCTCAGCCTCAGCCTCAGCCTCAGCCTCAGCCTCAGCCTCAGCCTCAGCCTCAGCCTCAGCCTGCCTCAGCCTCAGCCTCAGCCTCAGCCTCAGCCCTTCAGCCTCAGCCTGCGTGCCTCCTCAGCCTGCCTCAGCCTCAGCCTGCATCAGCCTCCTCAGCCTCAGCCTCAGCCTGCCTCAGCTCAGCCTGCTCAGCCTCAGCCTCAGCCTCAGCCTGCTTCAGCCTCAGCCTCAGTCTGCCTTCAGCCTCGGCCTCAGCCTGCCTCAGCCTCAGCCTGCCTCAGCATTCAAAATGTGGCCCAGGAATGGAGTTCTGGGAACTCGAAAACCACGAAGTGGCCTACAGTTGGCTCCGGACATTCAAAATCATGCCCAGGAATGGAATTCTGGGAACTCGAAGACCACGAAGTGGCCTACCGTTGGCTCCGGGCATTCAGAATCATGCCCAGGAATGGAGTTCTGGGAACTCGAAGACCACGAAGTGGCCTACCGTTGGCTCCGGGCATTCAAAATCATGCCCAGGAATGGAGTTCTGGGAACTCGAAGAACACGACGCGGCCTACAGTTGGCTCCTGGCATTCAAAATCATGCCCAGGAATGGAATTCTGGGAACTCGAAGACCACGAAGTGGCCTACCGTTGGCTCCGGGCATTCAGAATCATGCCCAGGAATGGAGTCCTGGGAACTCGAAGACCACGAAGTGCGTTACTGTTGGCTAAAAAAGGAATCCCCGGATTCCCGCGGGAGTCCCCGGATTCCCGCGGCATCTGCCCAGACCCCCCTGGGGAGTCACGATGCTCTCTTTTGAAACCACTAGAAACCTATCAGTCTTCGCTGTTAGGTGAAAAAAGCTGTTCTGGCAGTGGACGGTGGATCCAATGAAGACGGGGGAAATTCGAAGGTGCGTCCAAATCGAACTCTGCGCAGTCCGTGGATCGCGAGCTGGGATCACTCCCAGCTCAACTACCAACTAAGAATTGCGGGTGTCAGTGGTGAAAGGTAGAAGACATGGCGGCAATGTTAACATGAAAGAGGGCAGAACACAAGGCCCTCGTTCCCTTCAACACATGCCACGTCGCGCTTACACTGTAAGCCTGAATGGCAGGGGGCGCGTACGCATGCTCCTATCCAAATGAAGATGAGGAGGAGGAGGTGGAGGAGGAGGAGGAGGAGGAGGGGGAGGAGGAGGAGGAGGAGGAGGAGGAGGAGGAGGAGGAAGAGAAAGAGAAAGAGGAGGAGGGAGGGGGAAAGAGGGGAAATAGGGCAGAGAAAAAGACGGGAGGAGATGAGGGGAAAGAATAGGGGGGGCTGGGCCAGAGGAGGGGGAACATCGCCTTGAAATCGGCGATGCATCGCTGCCATGTCGGCGGTAGACTTCCGATACCGAATCCACGCGTTCCTGGGCGGAGTGGACAGTCGGGCCCGTATCGGCGATGACTAGGCGATCGGGGGTCGGTGCGTCCCCCCCGCCTCGGGCCGATCCCTGCCCAACGCTGCCCCCGAAGAGAGGGGGGGAGGTAGAGCAAGGAGGGAGGGGGGAGGACAGGGTTTGGAGGGTTGGGGGGGAGCGGTGGTGGAGGGGGCGAGGGGGTCCTGGCACCGCGGCGGCGCATGCGCGCGTAGAGGAGGCTGGGCGAGAGGAGGAAGTAGTGCCCCAGTGGGCCCAGCACGCTCGTGATGAGCAGGCAGAGGCCCAAGATCACGGCGAGGAGGAGCAGGCCCGTGCCGTCCCACTGGTGGTGGTGGGGGTGGGGGGGGGCAAAGGGAGAAGATGAGGCGGGGCGGGCGCGGGGATGAGGGAGGAGGGAGGCAGAGGGACGAGAGGGCGGGGGGGCGCGGTGGGGAGGGCAAGAGTGGGAGAGAGAGGGAGGGAGGGCAGAGAGAGGGAGGGCAGAGAGAGGGGGCGCGGTGGGGAGGGCGGAGGAGGGAGGACAGAGAGAGGGAGGAGTGCGGAGGAGGGAAGTGAGGGACGAGAAAAAAGGAGGAGGAGGAGGAGGAAGAGGAGGAGGAGGAGGAGGAGGAGGAGGAGGAGGAGGAGGACGCGCAACAGGCCCCGCCTCATGTTTCCCCAACGTCAAGGAGGAGGACGACGATGATGCTGATGAGGAGGAAGACGACGACGAATCCCACCAGCTCTCTGGGCGTACGCAGGTGGTCTAGAGGGAGCTTCCTCTTCCAACCCCCTTTTTCCCCTTCGGGGAGGGGTTTACCCCGCCACAATTACACAATGTGAATACTACTTTCCTCTCTCCCCTGAGTCTGTCCGGAACATGCTCGGCCCCCCTTCGCGTACTGTTTTTCTAGCACCGGATTGCCGGGAGTTTGGTTTTCATGTGTGTTGTTTGACAATCCGATTCTCTTCGGTTCTTCAAAATGTTGTTCCCTCTGCATCGCTGGCCCCATTTCTGCGCCTCTGGTTCTTCCAAATCGTGATCCCGCTGCAGCGCGGGCACTTTCGATCCTTCCAAATGGGCCCCCAAATTCAAGAAAAAAAAGTCACCCGACAAAAACCATCGGAAGCGATGACACATTCGGCGCTGATTCTCTGATTTGTTTGGCCGCAGAAGTCGTCGTCGCCGTCGTCGCTTCCAGGAAGTACCAAGCAGGAGCCCAGTTTCTGCTTTGAGAAGGCGAGGTGAAAAGTAGAGCCAGCGGGTGTTCTCCATCAGCCCCGCCTTGTGTGGAGCTTTTCGGGGAACCTAAGGAGCTAGACTTGGAGCCGCGACTCCAGACCGGCCCAAATCTTTCGATGACGACACACTTACCCTCCAAGGAACCTGGCGCCATGCCATGACATGCTGTGCGGTGTTGTGTTCGGCCGCTGTGCGATGCCACGCTTTGCGTTGCAATGTTTCACTGCGCAATGCCACACCATGCTACGGCATGCTACGCTCTGCCGTGCTCTTGTTCGCCATGCCGTGTTGCGCTCTACCATGCATCGCGTACCCTCTCGCGATCATTGCACTGCTCGACATCCAACCGTGCGAATAGAGAGGATATCTACGCCATGAGGGAGGGGTAGGACGTCAGATATGACGCGAGCGCTCCTAACTTGCCCTACCCCCCTTCCCCTGGACCTGGAGGGGTGGGGTCGCAGGTCGCTGGGGCGTCCAAGATGGCCCAAGATGGCTCCAGGAGGGCCTCAAAGAACCCAAGAGTTCTTCTAAGATGGTCCAAAATAGCCCGGTATGGCTCAATCGGTGCTCCAAAAGGCCCCTAGTTCTCCAAGACAACTCCGAGTGGCCACGGAGATTCCCCAGGAGACAGTCGAGAGGCACAAATCCTTTAAACACTTTAGGGGAATCAATGACTGTTGCTTTCTCGCCTTTTCGCTTCCGATGGCCTTCCGAAGCCTCAAGGCAGCTCCAAGAGGGCCCATGAGGGCCCCGAGAGAGGCCCAAGAGAGCCCCAAGACGGCCTTAAGAGCGCCCAAGAGGTGTTGTTTGGGGGGCTCCCGAGGGGGGGTCGTAATTAGAGCTCCCATCTGTTTTGATCGATATCCTCCAGCATGTCCCCAAGAGCGCCCCCGAGGCTCCCCCAAAAGCGCCTCAAGAGGGCCCCAAGACTCGCCCAGGCCCCAAGAGGCGCCCAAAAGGCCTCCAAGAGGCTCCCAAGAGACCCCCAAGAAGCCCGAGGATGCTCCCCGAGGCACCCAGGAACGCTCCAAGAGGGACCCTTCCTCTGTGTGTTGCCCACTTCCCTGATCGAGGCTACTCCTCTTGACACCGTCTCTGGATGGGCTGGTGGGACTACTTTTTGGTTTGCGAGCGCAAGCGGAAGGGCCGCGCGCCGTCCAAAGCTACAGCTAGCACGAGAGAGAGGAAAAAAGAGAGACAACAAGAGAACAGCGGGAGGTGAGACTAGCCGGGGCGGGCCGCGCGGCGCTCAAGGAGGGGGTGCCATCGGTAGCTAGCCACTGGTGGGGTTACGCGAAGCGTCAAGAAGTTGGGCCACCTTCTTTCGCGCATCGCGCGTTCGCGCCGCCCCCTTGGGAAGAGCAGCTGATCTGGCCCGGACCATGAGGCGCACACGGGGGTGACCTAGGAAGAGGAAGAGGAGGAGGAGGAGGAGGAGGAGGAGGAGGAGGAGGACGAGGAGGAGGACGCTAGCGCGTTATCGTGGTTGCTGCCAATCGTTCTTTCCCAAACCTCCATTGGTTGTGTTCTCGTCTTGAATAGAGTACTGTGGTCTCTCTCCTGTCTCCTCCCCCTCCCCCTCCCCCTCCCCCGGCCCCATCCTCCTCCTCCTCCTCCTCCTCCATCCTCCTCCCTCCTCCTCCTCCTCCTCCTCCTCCTCCTCCTCCCCCCTCCTCCGTCCTCCTCCCCCTCCTCCTCCTCCTCCTCCTCCTCCTCCTCCTCCTCCTCCTCTCCTCCTCCTCCTCCTCCTCCTCCTCCTCCTCCTCCTCCTCCTCCTCCTCCTCCTCCTCCTCCTCCTCCTCCTCGCGGCTCAATGGAGGGCTGCGAGCTGCGCAAGTGGCGCCACTTTCATGGGCTCCTGCGAGGTTCAGCGGAGTGGGGTGGCGGATCTTGTCGAGACCTCGCAGCTCCCTGCAGGGCTGCGAAGTGCGCAACACTCACAACGTTCGTGGGCTGGGACCTCCAGCAGAGTGGGGTGTCACGTGCATCCCGTCGAGACCTCGCGGCTCCCTAGGAGGCTGCGAACTGCGCAATTGTCGCCACCTTCGTGGGCTCCTGGGAAGTGCAGCGGATTGGGGCGTCACGCGGGTCCCGTCGAGACCTCGCGGCTCCCTTGGGGCCTGCGAACTGGGCAACTGTCGCCACTCTCGTGGGCCCCTGTCAGCTGCAGCGGAGTGGGGAAATCCAGCGGAATGGGTTGTCACGCGCATCGCGTCGAGACCTCGCGGCTCCATTGGGGTCTGCGAACTGGGCAACCGTTGCCACTCTCGTGACTCGTGGGCTCCTGGGAAGTCCAGCGGAATGGGTTGTCACGCGCATCCCGTCGAGACCTCGCGGCTCCGTTGGGGGCTGCGAACTGGGCAACCGTTGCCATTTGCGTGGGCTCCTGCGAGGTCCAGCGGAATGAGGAGTCACGCGGATCCCGTCAGGAGATCCAGCATAATGTGGTGTCACGCGGATCCCGTCGAGACCTCGCGGCTCCCTGGGGGGGCTGCGAAGTGCGCAACCGTCACAATATCCGTGAGCCCCTAGGAGGTCCAGCGGAGTGGGGGTGTCACGCAAATCCTGCCGAGATCTCGCGGCTCCCTGATGGGGGCTGCAAACTGCGCAACCGTCGCCACTTTCGTGGGCTCCTGTGAGGTGCAGCGGAGTGGGGTGTCACGCGGATCCTAGACCTCGCTGCTCCCTGTGAAGGCTGCGAACTGCCCAACTGTTGCCACTTCCGTGGGCCTCTGGGAGTCCAGTGGAGTGTGTTGTCACGCGGATCCCGTCGAGACCTCGCTGCTCCCTGGGGTGGCCTGGATAAGTGTCGCCACTTTCGCGGGCGCCTGTGAGGTCCAGGAGTGGTGTGTCACGCAGATCCTGTCGAGACCTCGCGGCTCCCTAGGAGGCTGCAAACTGCGCAACCGTCGCCGCTTTCGTGTGCTCCTGGGATGTTCAGCGAAGTGGTGTGTCACGCGGATCCCGTCGAGACCTCGCAGCTCAATGGTGGGCTACAAACTGCGCAAATGTCGCCACTTTCGTGGGCTCATGTGAGGTCCAGCGGAATGGTGAGTCACGCGGATCCCGTCGATGGGGGGGTGCGAACAGCGTAACTGTCGCTACTTTCGTGGGGTCCTGCGCGGTCCGGCCGAGTGGGGTGTCACGAGTACGTATCCCGTCGAGACCTCGCAGCTCCCTGGTGGGCTGCAAACTGCGCCACCGTCGCCACTTTCATGGGCTCCTGCGCGGTCCAACGGAGTGGGGTGTCACGCGGATCCCGTCGAGACCTCGCGCTTCCCTGAGGTGCTGCGAACTGCTCAACCGTCGCCACTTTCGTGGGCTCCTGGGAGGTCCAGCGGAGTGGGGTGTCACGCGGATCACGTCGAGATCTCGCTGCTCCCTGAGGGGGGGTGCAAGCTGCGCAACTGTTGCCCCTCTCGTGGCCTCCTGCGAGGTCCAACGGAGTGGGGTGTCACGCGGGTACCGTCGAGACCTCGCGGCTTCCTGGGGGGGCTGCGAACTGGGCAAGCGTCGCCAATGTCGTGGGCTCCTGGGAGGTCCAGCGAAATGATGTGTCACGCGGATCCCGTCGAGACCTCGCGGCTCCCTGGGGCGGGGGTGCGGGGGGTGGGGGGGCACACTGCGCAACTGTCGGCGCTTTCATGGGCTCCTGGGAGGTCCAGCGGAGTGGAATATCACGCGGATCCTGTCGAGACCTCGCGGCTCCCTGGAGGGCTGCGAACTGCGCAACCGTCGCCACTTTCGTGGGCTCCTGGGAGGTTCAGCGCAGTGGAATATCACGCGGATCCTGTCGAGACCTCGCGGTTCCCTGGGGTGCTGCGAACTGCCCCTGGGGTGCTGCGAATTGTGCAACCGTCGCCATTTTCGCATGTTCCTGGGAGGTACAGCAGAGTGTGTTGTCACGCGGATCCCGTCGAGACCTCGCTGCTCCCTGGGGGGGTGCGAGCTGCGCAACTGCCGCCTCTTTCGTGGGCTCCTGCGAAGTCCAGTAACATGGACTGTCACGCGGAACCCGTCGAGACCTCGGGGCTCCCTGGGGGGGCTGCGAACTGCGCGGCTCCCGGGGGGGCTGCGAAGTGTGCAACCGTCACCACGTGTGTGAGCTCCTGGGAGGTGGGGTGTCACGCGGACGGATCCCGTCCAGATCTCGCGTTTCTCAAAGGGGGCTGCGAACTGCGCAACCGTCGCCACGTTCGCAAGCTCCTGGGAGGTTCAGCGGAAAGGGTGGCACGCACCTCGCGTCTAGACCTCTCGGCTTCCTGGGGGGGTGCGAACTAGGTAACTGTCGCCACCTTCGTGAGCTCCTGGGAGGTCCAGCGGAGTGGGGTGTCACGCGCACCCCGTTGAGACCTCGCGCTCCCTGGGGGGGCTTCGAACTGGGTAACTGTCGCCACGTTTCGTGGGCTCCTGGGAGGCCAAACGGAATGGGAAAGCACGCACACCCAGCCGAGACCTCGCGGCTCCCTGGGGGCTGGGAAGTGCGGGTCCTTCAATCATGTTCGTTTGTATCACGCGGTGCTCTGTATAGCCACCTCATCTTTAGGCAGGGATGGGTACGTCTCAGGGTAGTCCTCTCTGACATATCTGCAATCTGCCCGCGTGGTGTGTTAGTGGGACTCTATCCATAGGGCATGTGGCCCAGAACAGACGAACGAACGAGGAGGAGGGACCAGGAACGAAGGAACGTGGAGATGAGGAGGGAAGAAGGAGGGGGCGAGAAGGGAGGGCGGGGGAAACAGTGAAAATGGGAAAAAGGAGAAGATGGAGGAGGGGGAGGGAGGAGAAGGCGAGGAGAGGGGGGGATGAGGAATCACTGAGGCCAGGTGAGGAGGAGAAGGGAGGAGGCACGAGGGAGGGAGGATGACGAGAGGGAGGGAGGATGGTGCGGGGACGATGGAGCTTTGAGGACTGAGGAGGGGCAGGAGTGCACGAGGAGTGTGGAAACTAGATCAAGTAAACTAGTGCATCGCGCCCCGCGATGCGGGGTCATCTTCGTGCCCTAGCGAGAACATCTTGCAGAACGGCGCCTCTCCAGCCCAAACCACGATGCGCGAAGCCCGATATCATCCTCAGCTTCGCGCCCCTGGGGATGATCGTGGGAAGAGGGAGGGGAAATGAAGATCAGGAAGAATGCGGAAGAGCGCGGGAGGGGGGTCAACAGATACGGGGGGGAAGGGAGGGAAGTAGGAGGGCTCGGGAGGGAGGGGAGGGAGGAGGGAGGGAACAAAGAGTTGTGAGGAGGGAAGAGGGAGAGGTGAAGAAGAGGGCGAGAGACATGGAGGGATGATAGGGGGAGGGCGGAGGAGGGATGGAGGGGGGACGGGAGGAACGAGGGCCAGCGGAGAGATGAAGGGCGGGATAAGACACCGATCGCCTGGAAGCTCGGGGCGATGTCGACGATGAACTGCGAAAACTGGTCCCGGAAATAGAAGTGGAAGACGTAGCACCTAGAATATCGGGCAACGAGATCTGCACAGATCCCCTGCCACAGGCCTGGCCCATTCAGGGCCCAGGAGCAGCATGCATGCCTCCCTGGCCAGGCCAGGAGGGCGTGCACACCGCTCCTGGGCCCAGGATGGGCCAGGCCTGGGGCAGCGGATCTGTATAGACCCCGTCACCCTGGAACACCACATGATGCGCAGAGCGGGGGTGCGCACACATGGATTCGCGATCTACGGATTTGGCGCGCGGTCGCCAAATCCATGGATCGTAGGAAGCGCCCTCCCCAAAATGCGGTCGACGCCGCCTCGCTCGGCGGCGGACATACGCGATTTCCCATGGAAACGGGGCCCGTCGCTAATCCACGCCCCCGTGATCCATGTTTGCGATCGCCTGAGTATAGATCCCGTCGCCCTGGAACACAAAAGTCTGCGCAGACACAGCCAGTTTCGGAGGCCCGCGCAGATCGCCTGGATTGGCGCCGGGCCCCCGCCAGGGGCGTCGCCAGAGGGCGGAGCGCCAAGGGGGTCAAGCGCCGATCCGCCCCCCCTCTTCACCACTGTGCCAGCGAGCTGCTCACCCATCCTGAGAACCGACCTCCTCCTCCTCCTTCTCCTCCTCCTCCTCCTCCTCCTCCTCCTCTTCCTCCTCCTCTTCCTCCTGCTCCTGCTCCTGCTCCTGCTCCTCCTCCTCCTCCTCCTCCTCTTTCTCCTCCTCCTCCTCCTCCTCCTCCTCCTCTTCCTCCTGCTCCTCCTCCTGCTCCTCCTGCTCCTCCTGCTCCTCCTGCTCCTCCCTGCTCCTGCTCCTGCTCCTGCTCCTGCTCCTGCTCCTGCTCCTCCTCCTCCTCCTCCTCCTCCTCCTCCTCCTCCTCCTCCTCCTGCTAGTCCTGCTCTTCGCTCCTCGGGCGCCCCAGGGTCGTGTTGCCCCACCAGGCCAAGTTCAGGGGGAGGTGGGTCATCCCGAGCACGAACAGCACGGGCTGCAGGATGTCCGCGCCTGCGTCGGGGGTTGCGAAGGGCGCCTCCCGGCCCAGGGTGCCGCGCCGGCATGGCATGCCGAGGATTACCCCCACGGGTGGGAAGCACCGGACAGGCTGCCACGTGAGCCGCTTTCATGGGCTCCCTGCCTGGGCACCCGAGTCTCAGCAGCAGTCGCTGCCATGCCAAAGGACCGCGCGCTTCACAGATCACCACTTTGGGGCTGAGCACGCAAAGAAGAACTTCGCCCCGATCTTCTCGCTCCATTCTGGAGCCCCTGGGCCTCCCCGGGCCTCGTGAGGGCAGGCTCTGGAGGCCGTGGGGACCTCCCTGGAAATCCTCGAGGGCACCCTGGGCGAAGGGCACTTCTGGCAACACCCGATCGGCTACACGCAAGAGTGACCCCGGGTAAGCGTGACCTTTGGTGCGCGGCTTTGGGGGGGGCGCGGGGGGGACCAAACCCAAGCGCACAAAGGCGCAGCTATCGCACCGCGTTCGGCTACCAGGGGGACCCAATGTGGGCCCGCACCCAATAGGTGTCGGAAATAATCAAGCAACACTCACGCATAACATATGGTGTGAACTCCCCCCCCCTGCCCGCGAATGCAATGGGGGCTCGGATCTCCCGAGTTTGAGTGTCGGACCAATGATGCGTATACGGGCCAACTTTGAATTGCGGGGGGAGGACGGGTTGTTGCTTAATTCTTTCCCTCAACCGAAGGTCACTCCGGCGAAGGGTCACTCATAAATGTAGTCGAACCCGAGCCTATCTCCAGCGCCGCCCACTGCAGGCCGGTCCCGTTCTCCAGGACGTTGTTGGGGTAGTGGAGCATCGCCATCAGGATGCCGATGGTCATGCTCGCTCCCAGAGAGGCGGCGGCCCAAGTCCGCCCCTTCCAAAGGAGTCCAGGGACACACCAATAAAGAGACGCAAATCACAGGATTCTCCTATATGTTTCTGTGTGTTTCGGACTTTCGTCTTCCCCTCCACTTCCTATATTTGCCCATATTTTCTGGGGATCGACGATAAATTGTGTCTGTGCGTTTTTTCTCCTGACCTTCGGCAGGCGGGGCTGGAGGCGGGAAGCGATGGGCCGCAGGTAGTGGAAGCACCACACGTAGAAGGCGAAGTACCACTGGATCCAGCAGTAGTAGATCGCGCACCCGTCCCCCCAGTTGCGGAAGAGCCAAGAGAAGGTGTACATCACGTAGGTCGGCACCGAGGACTGCCCGTCATTCCCCTCGCAGATGTCGAAGGCGTACTCCCCCTCCTCGAAGATCCCGCTGGGCAGCAGGCATATGGCCGTGGCCACGAGGCCCTGCACCCAGCCTGGAATGCGCAGCTTCTCGCATATCTGCATGTAGATGCGCACCTGCAGCACCATCTCCAGGTACCACCTTGGAGAGACACGAGGAGAGGTGGGCCTGCCCACGACCGTATATTGTTGTGCCTGCGCCCGTGGAGACCCTAGCTGAATCGAAGCGCTGCACACGTGCTCGCCATGACGACCCACCTCCTCGGAATGAAATTGAGGCAGGCGATCCTACACCTCTGCATCGCCGGCAACATGGGCGCACGTGACCCCAAGATGCCCCCCTCAAGCACAAACGTTCGGGGGCCCGCGCAGGCCAGCGCCGGATCGGCCAGAGCCACCTTGAGGGGCAACGATATGGGGGAGGCTGGCATGGGGGGGCGAAGGGGCATCGACCTGGAATCGGCTATGCCTCGTCGATAGATCGGCGGTAGGCCCCCGACAGCGAAACAGCACCTTCCTGGGCGGGGCGGGGCCCTCGGGCCCCTGGCGGCGATCCGTGGGCGATGGGGGGTCGAGGCATCTCCCCATATGCGAAAGAGCGTGTTCTACCGCTGCTGGCGGAAAACCGGGGGGGGGGGGGGGGGGGGGGGGGGTTCACTACCGGCTCGAACCCTCCCCCCCCCCCCCCCACTCCGGACAACCCGGGGGGGGGTCACTACCGTTCGAACCCCCTCCCCCCCCCCCCCCCCCCCCTGCTCACATGACAAAGGGGGGGGTTCACTAACCCGGTTTCGAACCTACTCTTCCCCCCCCCCCCCCCCTCCGATCCCTCGAAAACCGAGTGGGGGTGCGGACAGTGGTGGGGACGGTGTTGGTGGGGACAGTGGTGAGGGGATAGCGGGACAGTGGTGGGGACAGTGGGACAGTGGGACAGTGGTGGGGACGGTAGTGGTGGGGACAGTGGTGGGAACAATGGTGGGAACAGGGGGGGACAGTGGACAGTGGTGGTGACGGTGGTGGTGGGGACAGTGGTGTGGGGACAATGGGGATGAGGTGGAAACAGTGGGACAGTGGAGGGTACAATGGTGGTGGGGACAGTGGTGAAGGCGGTGGCGAGGACGGCGGAAGAACAATGGGACAGAGGTGCAGTGGGGACAGTGGTGGGGACAGTGGGGACAGTGGTGGGAACAGTGGGACAGCTCAGTGGGACAGCGGAGGAGTCAGTGGGACAGTGGGGACAGTGGGATCGTCGGGCAGTGGTTGGGGCCGTGGAGACAGTGGGGAGGGTGGAACCGTGGTGGGAACAGTTCTGGGGACAGCGGGGACAGTGCGACAGTGGTGGGGCCACTGGTGGGGACAGTAGGGGCGGTGGTGGAACCAGTGGGGACAGCGGCGGTGAGGACAGTGGTGCTGGGAACACCAGTGGGGGATGTGATGCGGACGGTGGTGGGGACCGGGAGTCGTTTGCTGGCGGTGAGTAGGG